TTTTTTATGTTTTGAACATAATGTGACTCCTATTTATATCACATAAATGCTAAACAACTCAAATGATCTAAATAAAATATATTTATGGCATTGTCAACTTAGTCATATAAATAAGAATCTAACATCCAATCTACTTATAAATGGAGATTTAAAATCATTTGATGATGTCTAATGAATCTTGTTTACTTGACAAAATGACTTAAATCCCTTTGTAGTGAAAAAGGAAAAAGAGCTACTAATTAGTTAGCTCTTACACATGGGGATGTATTTAAGCCTATGTTCATCCATGTAATAGAAGGATATGATTATTACATAACTTTTATTAATGACAGATCATGTTTTTGGTTATGTATGAGATACAAGTCTAAAGCACTTGAAAAAGTTCAAAGAATTTAGATTTAAAGTCAAGAAACAAACTAGCAAAACTACAAGGCATTTTGATCAAATCAAGGTGATGAATACTTAAGCAATGAATTTTAGATCACTTAAAAGAGAATGAGATTCTCTATCAATGGACACCACATGTTAGATATAGTTCGGTCAATGATGAGTTGAATTAATGTCCTCATTTTATTTTGAGATATACATTCCTTACTATAACCTTCATCTTAAATAGGGTTCCAATAAAGTTTATTGATCGGACTCCATATGAGATATGAAAAGAAAAGAAAATAAATTTATCTTTTTTAAGATTTAGAGCTATAAAGAATATGTCAAATGTTTGGATAAAGACAAGCTAAAGACTAAATCTATGAAGAGCTAATTTATGAGATATCTAAAGAAAACAAATTGATATTATTCTTCTATCACTAGAACAAAGTGTTGTTCATGACTAAGCATGTTATATTCCTTGAGAAGGAATTTATAGATGCCAAAAATAGTGAGAGAAAAATTTAAACTCAATGATATTCGAGTAAGCTCATAAATTGACACTCCACTAGTGAAACCCAAGTACATAGGTTATAAAATGTTATAATTATCCCACAAATAAATACACAAGAACTTTATAAGCCTAAAATGAGTTCGTTAAGAGATAAAAAAATATGATCTTCCGGTCTCAACACATGATGATATGTATCCTAAAGAGGATGACGATGCTAATACTTATAAAATGACAATGTTAGACATCGAGTCTTAGAAATAGCAAACAAAAAAGAATGTGTAGATGACACATCTTAATGGTTCTATCACTAAAGAAAATACAAATAAGATTTACAAAATGCAAAGGTCCATTTATGACTTGAGCATGCCTATAGGAATTAGAGTCGATGTTTTGATGAAACAATCAAAGAGTTTGATTTTTCATAAAGATAAACCTTATGTATATAAATGGTTAGTAGGAGCCTACTAGTCTTGGCTATTCTATATGAAAACAAACAAATAACTTCTCGGTTATAACATTATCATATGGTAATCTATAAAAGATTATGCATTCATGAATTTCTCCATATATAAAAAGGAAAGGTAGCCTATATTCTAAGAGTCAAGATCTATAGAGATAGATCACTTAGAATATGAAGGATCTCCCAAGGTAAATACATTGATATGATACTAAAAAGTTTAGTATAGAAGAATCAAATAAAGGATTTCTTCTAATATCATATAGCTTGATGGTCGACTACTTAGGTTTTTAGCGTTGTTGATCCATTAGTATCGTATTGCGACAACAACGAGCCATAGCATAAGCTAAGGAACCAAGGTCTCATCAATAGTCTAAGCATGTATTGCGATGTTATCATCCGATTAGAGAGATTATTAGTTGTGATGATATAAGAATAGAAAAGGTCCACAATGATGATAACATAGCTAATCCTTTGACTAAGTTTTTTTTCACGACTAAAATATGAGACCATTACTTGATCGCTAAGAATAAGGGACATAGTTAGTTGGCTCTAGTACAAGTAGGAGATTGTTAATGTAGGTGCTTAAGATCCAACATTGTTTGGATGATTTGACTTATTGTAATATTATATTTTTTATTTTATTAATAAAAAAAAGTCTTTCTATTAATTTTTTATTGTTTATATTTATTTTGATAGAATTAAATAGAAGTCCATATGATATGTATTGTATAAATGATTGATAAAAAGATGTGAGATAAACATTAATGCACTTAAATGATATCATTAAATGTCAAGTTATAGCATTATCAAAAATGGACATTAACTAATATACGAGTAAGACTTGTGAGTATTATGCTCATACTATAAGATAGTAGTAGGGGATTTCATACCTATTGACATGGTGATGCCAAAGCAAGCACTTATGTGATTAATGTTAGAGAACATATCATTGAACTTGACTTGCCATGAGAACCCATTTGGTTTAGTCTATGAGAATCTCATACGAGATAAGTACAACCGATCCTTTAGCTTAAAGTCATCACGGTTATCTCATTAGAGAATTTATAAACTTTGATACTCATTTTGATGGACTCGGTAAAAAGTTACAAATGGGTGATTTGTTTGGAGCATTAAGAATCTAATGAAGATAGGTGAATGACCAAGATAGGATATGTCATTCCTTATATGCTAAAAGAGTTATCACATTACACTTCAATAATGTCTACTCAATGAATCCGTGATCATAATAAGAGTATATCAATAGAGCATAATTAGTTTACTTTAGAGTTAAGACATTTAAGAATCAAAGAAAACTTATGTGATCATAATCGAATAGACTAAAAACAAGTTCGACATCACACTATGATAAATTAACATGAGGATCGAATTGTATGGTAATTATGCTTGTGAAAGATAATTACGGATTAATTAATCCTCATAGAGAATTAAGTAGTCATGATACCTTGCTAGAGTTCAATATTCATTTATGTATCAAGAGATAAAAAAGTATCTTTTATTCTTGATACATTGTCAACGTAATTAGGAGCCTATTGAGTTATACGCATAAGTTTAAGCATTTACATAATAAAAGAGAAGAAAAGATTTTTAGAAAAGGTTTTCAGCATTGAAAGTTTCTTATTTTAAAATTTTTTTTTAAAAATGAATAGTTACCTGGTTTGGAAAAAGTTTCTTAAATTGAAAAGTTTTCTAAAATGAAAAGTTTTTTATTGTAGAAACTAGTTTCCTAATTTAGAAGTTAGTTCCAAATTTAGAAGTCAATTACCTAAAAAGAAAATTAGTTTTCTAATTTAGGTTTAATGGTAATTTATAAAATTATTTCCTAATGTAGGCTTCCTTAAAAATATCTAACCTAATTTATTTGGATAGTTCAAATTAATTGATAATTAATTGGGTCAAAAGAGTTTGAGCTAATAGGCTTAATTTAAAAGCTTGCAAGATATTTTTGTGAAAGGATAAACTTAACTCTTATTGATAAGGATCAAGATTTATAAGGATAAGATTAAAAAGCCCACGAGTATTGTAACTCCTAATCCTTGAAAAACTAGGAAGCAACAACAAAAAGTCCTTTTTTGAACTTGTTGCTACCACTTCCTTGCCCTTAGAGGATAAGGAAGACACTCCCCTATAAATAGAAGGGAGAAGTGCAGCAAAGACGAGACTAATGCATAGGCCATACATGATATAATAAGAAAAAAAAAAGAGAAAATAGTTTTCTCCTTCCCAAAAAAACATGCCAACTCTCTCCCTCTCTCTCTTAGGGTTGTCGTAAAATATCCCGAAAAGATTTCAAAAGAGAAAATATTAAACAAATCGAAAAAGATGGAGTTAGCACTATATAACTTTTAAGTGTTTCTTGTGTGGGTGCTTGGACTGTGTGGATTATCGATAAAAGTCAAACACTTGGAAGACTCTTTTCTATAAATACTAAATCTACACTACAAGAGGTAATCCTTACTCATGCTTTAATTCATGTATGTATGATTAATTGATTCAACGGCTTGATATTGGGAGCCTTAGATAGAGAAAAGTTTTTATTTTATTCCGCACCTCCATAGGATGCATGATCGTTCAATATATTGCTCTCATTTAAAAATCATATAAATTTATCATATAAATTACATTAATATATTTAAATAATAATAATAATAATAATCACATTCTAATTTTTTTTTTCAAAAATCCATGCATAGAGAGAAAATTTTTTTAACAAATAAAAGTATATAAAAAAAATTAAGAATTCATTAGATGGTTCCATAAAAATGACAAATCCAAAAAATTATCTTAAGTTTTGAAAAAAAATAAAAAATTGAAGCAAATATCTTTTTTTAATCATCCGGTTGCATGAAAAAAAGGAATTATTTTTTCATAAATTTAGCACAAAATCAATAAAAATATACATACAAAAAAAAAAAAAAAAGCCGGGGATGGTTGGCTTGGGGCTTGTAGAAGCGAGCGCAATTAGCTCTGGTCGGGAGGAAAAAAAAACGAGAGAGAGAGAGCGAGCGAGCAGATGATGCGTCATATGATGCAACTTCGGTGAACTTTAGTTCATTAGAAAATTTACAAGAAAAATGAATTTTTGTGTTTTTTGATTTCAAAACTCAATTTGTCCATCTTTTTTCTCGAAAACACTTTAAAAATACTGAAATATGGTCAATAAGTTTGTTTGAAATTTTAAAAATCATTTTAATGCGCATTAAAAAAATCGAATAGAAAATTTTGTTTATTTATTTATTTATTGCTTTGATGTATCTCTTCCAATCATTTGATGGTTTAAAACAACCATGAACAAGCTCTTCATCTAAGGATCAAAGTGTGTCACAAATGAAATTTTGGATCAAAAATAAAAATTTTAGAAACATCAAGGGTTAAATTGTAAAAGTTTGTATAATTTGCTTATAATTGTCTGAAAAAAGCTAATAAAATTCCCAAAAAATTGTGCTTCCGTCCGCAGTTAGAGTATGTAAACTCATCCAAAATCGTTTAGTTTGTTTTATAATGATGCTAAAACGCATTTGTGTTTTTGTTTTATTTTGGAGAAAATTAATGATGCTAAAAGCAATAAGGTAATTAATTATATATATTTTTTTTGTGCTATCAGTTAATTATAATTTACAGTATCTGTACAGTAAATTAATGATCTTAGCCGTTGGTCATGGGAAAGGAAGACTAACATGCTTTCTTGGGGATATTAGAGGAATTGTTGATGTGGTGAGTTACAATTTTCATGCTTTAATTCTTGATATGAGTGAATATATATAGTCATTTGGTAAGGTTGACATGGTGGTGGATGCGATAATTGTGGCAAAGGTTGCTCATGCTAATCGCCCATCCGTCAATGCAATTTATCAAGTGGGATCCTCTGTAAGAAACCCTGTGAGATACACTAATCTTCAAGATTATGGATTTAATTACTTCACCAAGAAACCTTGGATTGGTAAGGATGGAAAGCCTGTCAAGGTTGGCAAGGTTAAAGTATTAAGCACCATGTCTGGCTTCAGCAGATATATGACCATTCGTTACTTGCTATTGCTAAAGGTTAATTTGTTCCAAGTTTCACCACAATACCTATCTATCAATTAATTTGTTGCTCTCTCTCTCTATCACTCTTTAACTTATTTCTTCATTATACGGGGGCTAGAAATAGCAAATACAGCATTTTGCCATTATTTTGAGGATAAATACAGTGATCTCGACAGGAAGATCAAATTTGTGATGAAATTAGTGGAACTTTATAGGCCATGCTTGTTCTTCCAGGGAGTGTAAGTATACAATTAATCTTGTTATCACTGCATAATCATGTTTTGAAATGTATAATGTCAACGCGATAATGAAAAACGCTAGTTCATTATATACTTAGCGTGCTTTTTGGCTAGTAGATTAATTGTATATACTCTGTTTTTCTATATAAATGAGAAGATCGATAGATTTAGTAAATATCTCTGATTTCAACTCGGTTTCCGTTCGGTAGTTTTGTTTCTCGCTTCCTTCCTCACCTACCACAGAAACAAACGGCGACAGTATTGGTGGGTGAGTGGGCCAAGACTAAGAAGTCCAACTAACGGCAAACATGTCAATGATGCAGCCGCTGGTCGTACAAGCTTCGATCTTGTGTTTGACATCTGTCATCTTTTGGCTCCACACAAGTTTTGCCGACTCATAAAGCGTCCTCCCACTTCATGTCGGGTTGCCAGCTTTATAATCCAAAAACCACGTGTTTTTTTTTCCACCTAAATCACTTGATGCTAGGTTTATTTAAAAATATCACGTAGTATAGTTTTTTTCTTCAAATTTAAGTATCTAAAAATTAATATGTTAGTTTTTAGTTTTTGATTTTTTAAATTATTTTTATTGTAAATTAATTTTTTTTTTAGATTTTCATCTATTTTGACACTAAAAACTCACATAAATTATACGTGATTGATTTTTAAAATTTTTAAATATCTAAAAATATGTCAAAACATGTGAATGTTTTGTTTTTTTTTTTTAATTTTTTTAAATATTTGTTAATTGTTTTTAGTATTAGGAAAAAAATAAAAATAAAATATTTATAAATATTTATATATTTTTAGATGCTGAGAAATTATATTTATTGGTTAAAATTAAAAAAATATATAATACATAATTTCAAATAAAAATAATTAAAAAATATTCAATTCGAAATTAAATTGAAAAATTTATTCTTAAATAATTAAAAATAAATGAAAAGTTTTAACAGGTTAATTTTTATTTAATTGTATCTATCCTCATTACTCCTAGTCTAGATTTACTTGAATTCATCTAAGCTCTGGCTCTCTCCATTAATCTATTCTAAATGGATGAATTTCGTTTTATAAGAAGAAGCGTTAAAAAAACAACAATAATAATAATACGGATTAGACCTTTAATTTTATGATACGATAATGTGTATAGAATTTGATGATATTTTTATGGCGTTGATTCCAATTGTCATTTTGTTGACGCGATGGACATAAAATGACAACTAGTAGGGATTAGCTGCGCTGCAGAACTTTTCCGAAGAAAAAAAAATATTTATTTATTTACTTTCATACTATATTAAAAAAAAAATTATATGTTTTTAAATTTTTAATTGCATCTCCATCTTTTCTAAAAATGTTTAAAATATCCAATTTATATTTTTGATTAATTTTTCTCATTGAATTTTTTGAAAAAAATACTTCTAATTGAAATGAAAAAATAAATAAAATAAAATTCTAAAGACTTAAATGGTAAATATATAGATGATGTGACTTTGAGTGTTTTTTTTTTTGTTGATATCTTGATCAAAGATATTTTGATAAAAAAAAATTATAATCGAAAAGATAGATTAAATATTTTCAATTTTTTCATGGACACATGGAATATAATTAAAAATCTAAAGATATATAAAAGACTATGAGTATTATATAAAAATAATTAGATATATTTTTTTAAAAAAAATATCAAATTCAACTTGTATATAATGTAAATAAAAGATCTAAAATAAATTATTCAGAAATAATGAAATGTTGATGCTAGTATTGTAGTACTAAAAATTATTACTAATATCTTAAATATATCTTTCATTCACGCTATATACTTATTTATTTACTGATGAGATATAACTATTAATTTTTAGTTTTTATTAAAGACTAAAAAGATGACTCCTTTAAATAAAAGAGTTTGTTCTCGTCAAAATAATATTAATTGTACTTGTCGACATATAAAACTTTCATACTATAAGAGTTAAAACATGGAATCATTACTTAGTTTATATATATATATATATATATATATATATATATATATATATATATATATTAAAATCTAAACAATACACTAGTTTCCACCTGAATGGGCAAAGAGTTCGTTATGTATTAAAAAAAAAATCCAACAAACATCATTTCTAAGAAAAAAGGGGAACCATGCTTGTTTTTGTTTCTAAATTCATTTTTACTAAATTATTATTTGTTCAATTATTTTTTTAAATAATCATAACTTTGGAGTTTATTTGTATGTTAGGGTGTTGTGAATTTGAAAATAATCTAAAAATTTAATTTTTTAAATTTATTTATTTGGGTCTTTAGAACTTAAAACCAGAGGGTTCTTAAAAAAGAAAGAGTTCAATGGCTTGTTTCCATTTTTTTTTTTTTATAAGATCTAAAAATCATAACTTTGGAGTTTTAGCATCACCCAATCCAATTAAAGGTCTTCAAACATCTTGCCAATTAAAAACAAATTAATTATCACAAGAATGGTTTCAAAAATCACAACCTTGATGGGTCGAGAAATACATAAAAAAAAATTATTTGTGGAATCTTATTAATTTTTTATTGAACCTCAAAAATAGAAATCTCGTCAATTTAATGTCAAATCTAATTAATTTTCTATACAAAATTATATGTGGAAATATGCTAAATTGAGAATGCAAAACTTGAAGGGTAAATTAACTCAAGTATGGTGCACAATTCAAGGATTAAATTTTTTAACCAATAGAGATATAAATTTTAACAAACTAAGTTAGCTAAAATTTATTGTGGAATCTCATTAAATTATCATTGAACCCTAAAATGAGTCTTGTCGATTTAATGTTAAATCCAGTTGAAATCGTAATATGAATTTCATACTTAAAAATTTATGATATGTTAAGATATGTAAGCTATATAAAGCATGAAAAATACGAATAATATGAGTGTATGGTAAAAAATAAAAATGCACTAGTTTATATGTTAAAATAATTATGAAATCTCAGAGGAACAACATCAATTCCTGAAAAACATAAGTCTCCTAATGTCACATTCAAATAAAAATTATCATACAAGATCTCATATGAATATAATGCAAGGGCTTGATATGCAAATTATTGTGAAATAAAAACAAAAACGAAAATATAAATTCTCTAGAAAGGTAATTTAGGTAGGCAAGATTTAGGCATATGTAAATTACACATATATAAAACAATACATGCAAATGATAAAGTTATACTATTTATTCATGATGCATAAAAAAAAAAATCTATTATATAAATATAAAGCAAATGCATAATCAGAGAAAACGAAAGTAAAACCACTAAAACAGAACAAAATAAGAAAATAAAGATTAAACTAAATAAAATAAGGATTAAACAAATTAAAAATAACAACTCCCAGTTTTTTTCTCATTACTTTATATTATGTAAAAGAACGACATAATTGAAGATAAATTAAGTTAAATCATCAAATGAAATAAGACAAATAAACAAGGGACTAAGCTGAACTAAAGGGAAAAATCTGAAAAAACACATTATGCTTCTATTTAGCCTTTATTATATAAAATAAAAACATAATTGAAAACTACCTATGTTAAATTGTTAAAACAAAACAAATACTGCAAAAAAATTTGACATATAGCGATGGATTTTTCCATCGTTATACGTCAAAAATCTATTGCTATACACAATTACCAAATATTAGAGATAATTTTAATTTTATCGCTAATATGATGGTCATTATTTCCTTAACCACTACGTTTTTTTTGTCACTATTTTTTTGAATTTTCATTGCTAAATCGATAAAAAAACTATCGTCTATCGGGTTTTATTTTTGTCATTATGCCATCACTATTTTCACTTATATCAATCTCTAAATAATGATGAAATGGCATGCCGATAAAAAAATAATAGTGGCTAAAATACTTGCAATTCTATTACTAAATCCGAGCGATCATATATTCATCCATCACTAAATGTCCTCGTAGTTCTATCACTAAATCTATCGTTAAATAAATGAATTTTTTTATAAAAAAATCAATAGTCGTATATTGTTAATTATAATAAAAAATAACTATAAACAACATCTTATTAAAATATGATATATTTTTTAGTAAAACCAAAATAATATAAATTGAAATAAAAAATGAGATTTATCTCATAATTGGTCCCTATACAGTTTCATTTTTTTTTATTGAGATCTTCTATTATTTTTCAACTTGATTAAAACCTTCTACTCTTTAAAATCCATTGATTGAAACCCTCCGTTATTACGCCGTTAACTATTCATCTTACATGGCAAGTTAAAATTAACATGAGCCAATCGGACAATGACATGTGGCAATGTGGACCCTAATCATTTCAGTATAATTCAAAACCAAAATATAAAATTTTTTAAAATAATTTTGTAAATTAAAAAACATTAGTTAAATATGAAAATTAAAACTTTGCATTATCAGTCGAAGCTGGATCTAGCAAAACACCAGCCTTCTTTTACACCTACTCAACCTTCACACCCTCGTGAATCAAGAGATTAGCATCGCCACCATCATCAATGATCAAATCAGGACCACCACCTAGCCCCCAATCAAGAGCTCCCTCAGTGCACCACCAATACTCCTAGAGGGTCTTCCTTTTCCAGGAGAACATAGCAGTCGAATCATTGGCAATAGCGACAACAACATGATTTTAGGTGGAGAAGACATTGCAAGAACACCAACCAACCTCAGCACTTAAGGTAGTTAAAGTTTCAATCAAAACAGCAGTTTGGATGGTTATATGAAGAGAGCCAGTGATCTTGGCTCCGTTGAATGGCCGTGAGGGGCCGAATTTAGTATGGGAGGACATCAATCAAAGCATTTTAGCTTCGGCCAGTTCGATTTTGAGACGGTCCAAGTCAGCCCGAGACATGTCTTTGACCTAGTACTCACGATCACTTGTCGTTTTCTCAACAAGCAAAGCCATTGTAGAAGAAAGAGAGAAGATTTATTACTTTCACTCTCTTAGAAACGGAGGGAAAATAAAAGCAGCTTAGAAGAGAGTGAAGCAGAGAGCGAATGCAGAGAAGAGGGGTATTTTGGTTCTATTATTTTTATTTTTATAAACTAAAAATTTGTTAATATATATATAATTTTTTTTTATTTTAGAATTATAATCTCATAATTGAGGTCCAAATTTTCATGTGTCATTTTTTGATTAGCTACTATCATCTTTAAAGTGTCATCGGATTCATAGTTAACGGAGGGTTCAATCAAAAAATTTGTAATAGTAGAGGGTTTCAATAAAAACATTTGGTATTTTATAGGGACCAATTGTAGGGTAAACCTTAAAATAAATATATAAATGTATTAAAGTGTACAAAAATATTAAAAATTTTTAAAAAATAAAGAAATCTAGTCTTCATTAGCATCATTTTTTGCATTATCTTTTGGTCGTTAGGTGTTAAGAGGAACTATTGTCTTTTAAGTTGTAGGAGGCTCAGCAAGAGAGACGTTAATCGACTAGAGTTTCGTAACAACTTCATCACTCGTCTACAATTAAGTTTGTATGTCGCTAACTTTACCGACATGTTGCTTGGATGGTAGCCTCTATCCCCTTGATCCTATTTAATGAGTAAAACCTCTTAGATATTATCACCGGGATACCAAGAAGGGGCGAGAGGAGGAGTTAGCGTCGAATGTGAGTAATACTCGGAACACATAAGTTTCGATTTCATAAACTCTACTTCTTTTCCCTTCCAAATGTAATACCCTAAACCGTTATTAAATGAATTAAAAATATATTAAAAATGTATGAAAAATATTATGTGGGCATAGGATAGTTGCCATGAGGATGCTAGAATATTTGGTGGGCTTAGGATAATTTTTCACGTGCTGGATGAATATTTTATTTAATTCTTGTGCATGAATAGTAACTTTTTATGCAAATAAATGTTTGAAAAATTTCAAATGAGCATGAAAAATGTTCTATTTGCATAAAATATTTGGTAGAAGGGTGTTAGATTATTCAGCGCCATTGGATTAATTTTTTTATGCTCGGTGAATATTTTCGGTACATGAATAATGCTTTTTCATGCAAATTAATTATTATGAGCATTTTAAATATGTTTAAAAATTATCTAATGGGCATAAAAAAAATCATTAAGGAGGTGTAGGAATATTCCATGAACTTAGGTGAATTTTTCTATATATAGGGAATATTTTTTTGTAAAAATAAGTGTATTTTTACATAAAAGTAATTAATTTGAAGGCTATATGTGTACAAAAATTATGTGAATGTTGAATAAATTCTTATTGGAGGTATTTGAATTTATTATGAAAAGAAATTAATTTTTGAAAAGGGATGGAATAGATTTTATAGAAGTAGGGACGTAATTGTATAGAATTAGATATCTAATTACATAAAATTAAAAGTTTGAACTTTTAAATTAAATTAGCAATGAACTTTAGGAAATAAAAAGTTGTTAGAAAAACTTTAAAGGAAGGGCTCTGGAGGAATCAATTAAATAATTGTAGGACTTATGGGAGAGTAATTGTAGGAAAGTTAATTCAATTGAGGGACCAAAATTAAATAATTTTGGAAGAGATTTTCTTCCCTTTTTGCCACCATTTTCCTTCAATTATTTGGATGTATTGATTGCATTGCACAAATAAAGGGTTGAGGTTTAAAGCGAGATGGTTAGATGGAGAGCTAAGAATTAAAGAAAGAATAGATGGTTAAAAATTAAGACAAATGAAGGGCTTAGATTAAAAGAAAAATCAAGGGCTAGGATTAAACCAAATTAAGGATGGAGATCAAGTCAACCAAGAAAAAAGTCTAACCGATCCTCGCCTATAAATAGGGGTGGTAGAGAAATGGAAAAAATGTTGAAAAAATAGCAAAATACAAAGGAAATTCTTGCAAAATTTCCATATGCTTTCATCCAAAATTCCACCTAAACACTTTTAAATACTCTAAAAAACCTAATTAAGCATAGAATTCAAGTTAGAAAATAAAAATCACAAGGAGGAAAAATCCCACACTTGGTCGAAAGTTTTGTGAGAAAATGAGAGGAAGAATTTTCCAAGCAATTCAATTTTTCAAAAGTTTAATTGTTGAATTAGAGCTTTAGAGGTAAGTTAATCTCACCTACATCACAAAGATGTATTTATTGATGCCAATTGTTGATTTAGAACCCTTAATTTTTTTTTAAGCTGAATTAATTTTGAAAATTAGGGTTAGGGTTCTCGATTAGGTAAAATTGAGGAAAATGAAATTAAAGGTGAAATTGATAAAATGAAAGTTGGGAAATGTTAATCAAGCATGGAAGCAAGTAAGAGAAATAAGAAAATCCTTAGCCTATTCTTTGAGAAAGTTTCAGCTCAATTTGGCAAATTAGGATTTTTAGATCCTTAGGATTAATTGATTTTGTATGTGTTGTTATCATGAAATTAAATTTTTTAACATGAGAAATTGTATTGAAAATTGAAAATTTACCCAATTTAGGAGAAAATTAGGGTTTTCATGTTTTTTATTCTTAATGATTTAATTGACTAATTCTAGTTAGTATAGTATAAAAAAATAATTAGTTTGAAAAATTTCATTGGAATTGAAAAATTTATAGTGCATTTTGGGCTAAAAATTAGGACTTGCTTGTCATTTTCGGACTTTCGTAGCTAAATCCATACCTAGTAATACCATAGGAAAGACATGGTACCTTATTGGCTTGCATTCGATGCACTTTGAATGTAAGTTCATGATGACAATATTCTCAACTTATGAGGTCGTAGGTTAGGAAAGTTACAAACATGGTATCGCAGCATGGTTTATCAAGGAATTAAGGAAGACCCATACAAGATACACGGGAGGTGACCCTTGATAATCAAGAAGTATATTTGATGATTGATTGTTATGATTGCTCGGTTTATATGTACGATGAATATGAATAGCATGATGATTTATTACATGAAATTATTATGCTTAAGTGTGCATAGAATGTTATAAGTAAATGTGTTATGAATGATGATTATAAATGGTATGATTGGATTGAATGACGTAATTTATGTTGTCTCGTGCATGTAATTATAAAAGGTCGATAATAGTAAAGTTAGTAATGATGCGAGTTTAAGCCAAGCACCGATGGACTAGGAATGTGATCTAATAGAGTTGCTTAGCGAGCAACAAGAACTAATGGAATTACAGCAAGAAAGACATGAAGCACGACCACCACAAAGGGTTAAAATAGTAGAACGTTTCTAAAGGTTTAATCCAAAGAAATATAGGGGTGGCCCAAGCCAATGTTATGGAGAAATGGTTGAGTCTATAAAGATTATTTTTGAGCATTTGGCTCGACGGATGCCGATCGTATAGCATGTGCGACCTTCATGTTGGTCGGTGATGTTCGAAATTGGTGGGAGACAATAAAAGCATCCCTTGATGTGATAGAACTTATATGGGATAGATTTAAGGGGTTATTTATTGATAGGACGATGATGGATTATGTTCGTAAATTTGAACATAATTGTCACTACGCCACCTTCATTGCTAAAAATGAGGAAAGGAAGAAAGAGCATTTTCTTCATGGACTAAAGGTTGAAATTAGGAGTTTTGTTCGAATATTGATGGATTCCTTCAAGGATATTGGGAAAAAGGCATTTTATATTGAAATTGATCAAAAGGATTGGACCTCGGGATCTGTCTCTTAGTACTAGTAAAGAGAAGAATGCTCCAAGTAGGTTTAGAGGATAATTTAATAGAAAGAGGTCATTTACTCAAAGCTTTCAAAAGGATAATAAAAAAGGAAGGCACCGACGAGGTCGCAAAGGATGGGAGAAAAAGGAATACCGAAGTGTCCAAAATGTGACTATCCACACACGAGAGACTATTTAATAGGCATGAACATATGTTATTTCTATCGAGAAATAGGGCATTTGGCTAATAATTATTTGAAGAGGAATTCAATCGAAGGATGATAAGTTCTTGAATGAGTATTTAAGTTAACACAAGAGGAGGCAAACAAGGAGGATGCTAATGTTATATGCGATAATTCTTAATCTCTAATCTTATTGCATATGCATTAATAGATTCAAGAGCCACGTACTCATTTATTGCATAATTATTATTGAGACGATTAAGCATGACACTTGAAGTGTTAGATATTACATGTAAAGTGGCGCTCACATCCGGAGAGTCACTAGAATCAAACGTCATAGTTAAGCAATGTGAAATAAAGATTGGAAATAATATTTTATATGCCGACCTCATAATCTTAAGTATTCAAGACTTCAACGTTATCTTGGGCATGGATTGCCTAGCTAAGAATGGAGCATCGATTGATTTTTTTAGCTAAGGAAATGGCATCTCATCCATTGGATTAAGCAACCTTTTAAGTTACAAACTAGAACACGAGTGATATCCGTAACCCTAGTTTTAGCCTTGACATCCCGAAAAATGATGAATGGTGGATGTATGGGCTACTTAGTAAATATGGTTGATATTAAAAAGGAGGAGAGCCCGAAATTAGAAGATATTGAGGTGGTTCAAGAATTCTCGGATATTTTTCTTAAAAGTTTGTTGGGATTACCTTCGATGAGGGAGATTGATTTTGAGATTAAGTTAGAACTGGAAAAAATACTTATATCTAAGGCACCATACCGAACCCAATGAGAATTACATGAACTTAAATGCATATACGTAAATTGCTCGGATAAGTGTTATATTTGACTTAGCTCGTTCACCATAAGGAGCACCAGTATTGTTTGTTAAGAAAAAGGATGGCTCATTGCAATTATACATAGACTATCGAGATCCGAATTGGGTGACATTAAAAACAAGTTTCTAATCCTCCAGATTGATGATTTGTTTGACCC